TGAATTGTTTTATTGTTGTCAATGTTGTACTATATCAAAAAGTAATGTGTGAGTTTATGGGGCGTCATCATAATGATCATGGTGGTGGTGATCATCATTATTATTATGAATACAACATGAACAACATCAGCTATGAATGAGTCTGATAAAGTTCTACTTGTTGTAGTTGTTTGAGGATTAATTAAAGTGCGAAGAAGCTTCAATTTACTGTTGTACGTTTGTAATAGTATCTGTGTGTTCAGTAGCTTTGTGAGTGTGTATGTGTATGTATGTATCTGTGCTGTATAGTTGGAAAAACATACTTTAAGTACGCGCGCCTAGAAAGTATTTTGCATCTTAAGTCCCGTTTAGTTGTTTTTCAATTTGCAAACTAAACGCGTCGTTGTCGTAGTCGTTGGATTTCAATATCACGTACACACGTTTGAACGATCGGTCACTTGTTCACTCGATTCCATGTCGTTAGAGGTTTTTTTTAATAGCCGGTCGGTCATTAGTGATAGTGAAAACAATAATATTTTATTATAAATCAAAAATGTTGGTGTGGCTTTAAAAAAAAAAAAATAACAAAATTTTTTTTAACAAAATAATTGTTTGTTTTTATAATTTGTTTATTACAAAATAATGGAACAAACCCAAAAAAGTACGACCACCTATTGAATAAACGCCCCGTTTGAAAAATTACACTGAGGACGTGCAAATATGTAGTTAAATATTTTTTGCAATAGATTTTAATTGATTGTGAAAAAGTCGTTCATGCAAAAAAAAATTTATAAAAAAAAATATTCAATAAAAACTACATTTACCCCATAAAATTTAAATAAATTAAACTACTACAACAATTTTATAAAATATTTAAATAATCAATCATTTTTTGTTTAATTAAACATGAGTTAAAACAAAATATGATTACACATGATAACAAAAGGCCTTAAATAGAGTTTAAACATAACGAATTTGTTTATACCCACAAAAAATTTTAGTTATTAGTGTGAAATTTTTATGAAAAAATATTGTTTTAAAATTTAAAAAAAAAAAAAATTATGAATTTAATGTGTTGGTGTTTTTAGGCTCGTGTGTGTATGTATCATTTAAAAAAAATTTTATGATTATTTTCTGGATTCAAAATCAATTGTGTGTTGACATGTTTGGTGGTGTGATAAGCGAATATAATTATTCATTTTTAGTGTTGAAATATAAATGATTGTACAGTGGAAACTTTTAGTTATGAACTAAACGGGAAAATGTTTCTAATGTTGGATTTTTGAATAGAAATAGTTTTGCAAATCTAGTTTTTAGAAGAATAATGTTACATTGAAGGACAACGCAACGTTGTCAACATTGCAACAATTCGTTGTCGAAATCTAAAATCTAAAGCTCACTATTGACAAACAATCCGTTGCCAATAGTGAGCTTACCACGTTTCTTAACATTTACACAACGGATGTGTATAAAATTTAGATTTCGACAACGAATTGTTGCAATGTTGTCAACATGACATAGTGTTATACTTTGACAACGGATGGTATTGAAAAATTATAAACAGTTTGGTGTCAATTTGGTATCAGGCGTGTATATTTATTTTTCCCTCTGTGTAGGGACTTTGTTTTGAGTACAGTGCCTCCGAGAAATCTGAGCGAGGCTTTACAATGAATGATTAGACTCTGTTCTGCGTTTAGATCATGAAAGGGTCAATGTAATACAGAATCACAGAGCATTAGGAATAAAAGTTAAAGGATTAGAAGGACTCTCTTCTATCCATTTAATTATCGAAAACTTCTTGCGCTTTTTCTAAAAGCTAAATTTCTGCCTTAAAAACATTGTACACATTAGGCCATCTGATGTTGAATGTATTGAAACTATTAACATTTTTTTGACTTAATTTCGAGTATAAGCTCGAAGGACCATATAGTATACTGAAACTCTGTCATCATCTCCTAAACTTCTCAATTATTAATATTATTATTTGATCGCTAAGAAATGATTTCTCTTCGCATCTGATCTGTTTCTAATTAAATTCTACTATTAAATTAAAGAATTTTTTGCAGTAGAGCTCCCAGTATTGGTCGTTAGCTGCAAATTCAATTTTAATATTATTTTCTCTATTGCATCAATTTTGATTTTATCGTTCGAACTATAATTTTTGAACTATTAGTTTAGACTGATATTCCGCCACTTGGAAGTATATACAAAGTTCATATACGATCATGCCTCATTGAAACTTTAAGTGCAAAATCTAATTTTGCAAAGGTGCCTTTCTCTTAAAAGCTTAAGCTAGGAGAAGCATATACACATCTGCTATATTATTGTGACTATTTGATTGTTAACAAATTATTCGCCTCAACTAAACTATTGAAATAAAATTTCAGTATTACACAGTTACAAATTACATTTGAATATTAATTTCCCTGATCGATCTCGAGTTCAAGCTCTAAAGCCATTGATCATTTCAATTTTTAAAGTGTAAGTTTAGGCGAATATTTCGTCAATTGCAAGTGCAAGGTGTGTAATACGATCAATCGTTTAGCTTAAGCTAGAAGAACAATGATTTATTCCTTGCAACAGTAGGGTCAAAGTAATTTCAATTATGGAATTAAAATTATTGTCTCGACGTCTGATGTTATATAATGACTATTTGATCTTTTAGGTATTATTCCTCTCTGGATCTGAAATTATTATTGATTACTAGTATGGGACAGTTACAAATTAAATTCGAATATCAATTTACCAGATCAATCTCGAGTTCAAGTTCTCGAGCCATTGGTCATTTCAGTGTATGAACTGTAAGTATAAGTTAATAATCCGTCACTTAAAAATGCAAGCTGTATAACACGATCAATTGTTTAGTGTACATGAAACTTTCAATACTCAAGCTCGAAAGAACATAATTGATACCTTGTATCTCGTCCAAGTTTCATCAAGATCTCCAAGGCGATCGACACAGTGTGCCATGGTGCTCTTTTCTCAGAAAAAATTGCTTACGATCTTGCTCAGACATCACCCTATATTAGTAGTCATTTAACGGTTTTATAAATAACTGAGAGTTAGGGCAGTGACAGAGAAAGTTCTCTTCTTTTCCTTTGTCATAATAATATCTGAAGAAATCATTTTTTTGAAGATTAAATCCTGTGGCATAAGTCCAAAAAGTATAGTTACCACTGCAATTGTGTTTCATAGCTGTGATCTTGAAAGTTTTAACAAGGCTTGTGACCGTAGTGGGTTGTATATGGGCCACATGATCTTCGCTAGTCAGAAAGTAGTCTCAATAGATCAGCCGAGTGCAAGCATATTGAGTCTGCCAAGAATCGAGAGTTTACAGCTGTTGATCAGTGTACCTAAAAAGATGCCAGTCTCTTTCCTTTCTTGATTAGCCAAATCTAACATACTTCTTATTATTTCGCCATTTCATTAAGAAATCTGGTCTGTTTGATACCTTGTATCTCGTCTGTCATTATTTTAACTACATATTTGATCGTTTAGGAATTATTCCTCTCTGGATCTGACTGCAATGTTTCTAATTCCTCAACTTTATTATTGAAATCATGTTCACTTTCAAATTAAATCTGAATATTAATTTTTTTGGTCGATCTCGAGTTCAAATTTTCGAGTCAGTTTTTGAATTGTAAGTACAAGGCATGTAACAAGATCAATCGTTTAGTGGACCTGATATTTGTTTAGCAGAGCAGCATTTTCTCTTAAAAACTTAAGCTCGAAGGACCATAATAGTGATAAGATTTGATGATATTCGGAAGAACAATATTCATAGCTTGGCATATTCAAGCTATGAATATTGTTCTTCCGAATAGAGCCCCTGATACTTCAATACTAGTGAGTGCTTTTTGCCGAGTAAATGCTATTTTTAGTTCCTGAATCGTAAGATAAGGTTTTGATCACTATTCAACCTCAACATTCCAGATACTTTGAGTCTAAAAGCGGATTTTGCTCGGATGCGTTTAATATCAAAATACATATACATTTATGAATCAAGTAACACTAAACCAAATTATCTGTTACCAATGGGTCAATCGCTGTATAATTTAAGAATTTAGGCGAACTTAAGCTTTAATGCATTAATATTTACATACATATATTGTAGTTTAGCACCTGTATCTACAGCATACGAACTGAATTTTAAATATATATTTTATATCTACTTGTTTCTTAACAGAAATAATAAAATTTTTATATGGCTGACATGTCATTTGAAAAGTGTCATCACATTAAAAAAGATGTTTATGATGACACTTCATAACATATTTCTATCACCTCATTTGTATTCCATCCCAACCTGATGACTTATTTGTGTGTGTGTTTTTTTTTAGATACAAATTTTTAATGAAAGAACAGAAGTGACAGATCCAAAATACAAAAATAAAATATATAGTTTTATTAAACCTAATCAAACTTCTGGAAAATTGTACTTGATTTTAAAGCTATAGAAAAATATCAACTGATTTACAAATTTGAAGATTAACCTAAAAATAAGCTATGTCCTTCCGTCTGTCCGTCCGTCGGTCTGTGTGTCGTTTCTAAAGAGTTTTACCTTTAATTTTGTCTTCCTTAAGACATGTCATACTGTAGTTTACATTCTATTTAACACTCTCCTGTTCCAATCACCAAATGTTTTGAATACAAAAATGATCGATTCAAAAATATGAATGAACAATTAAGTTTTCTTTAAAAACACACTTGATACTGAGAGATTTTTAAATAAACTCAAATACATTTACACATACACACACTAATGAAATATGAAAACAACAAAAACGAAAGATTCACATTGCATATTTAAATAATCAGTGAGAATAAATATTTATAAAAAAAAAACAACAACAATATTTAACAAATTTATCAAACACTCAAATAAATTAAAATTAAAAACTACACAAACTATAATAAACAATAACAAAAAAAAAACACCTGTTTAATATTTTATTAATGTGTTTTTATTGTTGTTATTTAATCAAACAATTAAATAAAAAAAGATATAACGACTATAATAGAATAAAAAAAATCTAAAAAAGCTGTTTTTAAAGAACGCTTTGCAAATAATTGAAAAAAAAAATACAAACTGTGAATATAAACACTATAACAAACTTTAACAATTTTAAAGATACTCTTACAGCAACAACAAAAAGAATTATAAAAAATAAACATTAATAAACCATGAGTCATTAAAGCCGTTTCGTTCCATTTGTATGTATCCATATATTGAGAACTACTTGTGGATTTGGAATACAAACAAACAAATAAAAAATTAAAAAACAATAAAAATAAAATGAAACCAATAAAAAAAGTTACAAAAAATAAAAGACATTTTTTAAGAAGTTGTTGTTGAAAATAAATTAAATTGAAAGACAAAACTCTACCAGACAAAATGTTCTTAATTCGTTGGCTGTTTGGTTTATGGTCGTTTTTTCTGAGTGAAAAAATTTAAATGAAAATAAATAAAAAAAAAATATCTTTTAAAAGCACTATGGGTTGCAGATATTTTTAAATATGAAAAATTTTAAGCTTCTAAAGAATTACTAGGCACATGAACTAGAAGTAAAAATGGGTTACTGAAGGGAGAATTCAATGATTCAAAAATCTGTTTTCTCTTTTAAATATCACTTCCAGACTCCTCAGTATAGTTCATTTTTAAAGGCTCCATTACATCGATGCTATACTTTAGTTTGTCAGTAAATTAGAGGGTTAAGTCCATTTAATATTCTCTACTTAATTCGTGGATGCGGTATTTATAACAAATTTGATTAGATCACACTCATTAGGATTTTGAGAGAGTCCAGAGCAATATTTTAACAAGATATCTGATGTACGGTGTTTTAGAGCGACTCAGTCATGGATCCGTACTGAAGATCCATGAGGGTTGTCTAAGCATTTCAATGATGCAAATTTTCCCATGGCTTGGCTATTGAAATCATACAATCCTAGAAGGCCAATGTATATAATAAATCGGAGTGTACTACCTTGGGTGATTAGTATATCAACCAAAACATATGTATTTCAAGTGTATCTACTCACTTCACAATATGATAAGTATGAAGTGGTAGTTCTTGCACCTCTTGGTAACACGGAGTCTGAATGATAACTTTGAAACATTAAGTGCGTTCAAACTTATAGTTACTATAAGGCTATTTGTTCAATGATCCACGATTTGATTCGACTTTTCAATTTGAAAAAATATGAAAACTAAAATCTTGATTTCATCTGAATTAGAAAATCTCTGCATTCAGACGCAGAGAGGTCTTTTGAGAATCTGAAGGAATAACAAAAACTCCCAAACTTATACGCTACTTAAAAATGCAAGATCTTATTGAATCAGAGATCGGGGTAGAAAAACTTTTTCGTCTGGTTTTACATCAAATCTTTTCATTCGTTGGTTTTCCTTAATTTTCACTCTTCTTAATACCCTGAAAAAATTGAGAATATTCCGCATACGCGTTTAAAGAGTACTACTCAAAGGACTAGGACTGCTCCAAACGAATACCCTTAAAAAATTGAGAATACTCCGCAAACGCGTTTAAAGAGTACTACTCAAAGGACTAGGACTGCTCCAAACTAATACAGGCTATGGACCATGTTGTTTTAAAAAACAATAAACATGATCAATAATATTTACAGGCGAGTTGTTTTTGGATTACTTAAATGGATTATGTTCTCCAATAACTTTTGCAGGGTAATCATTTCCTAAGCCGATAAATAAAGCTTAATTTCTTCCCTAATTATTGTAAAGAAATTCTTTTTCCTAAGCTCGAAAGAGTTTCATTAATTAATACAAATATATTCTTTGGAATTTGTGCTGTTAAAGCGATTTATTCGGATCAAAATATATAATCCAAATTTCATCAAGATCACCTTTGATATTTCCAAGGCGTTTAACACGATCTTTCCCAGAGATCGATCTATTATTAGTAGTTTTCGAAGCGACCCCATTTAAAGATTTTATCAATAACTTAGAGTTAGCGATGTGATAGAGAATGTAAGGCCAGTGACAGAGAAAATTAGTGATATTCTCTTGATTTCCTTTGCCATGATCTGCAGAAATCGTTCTTTGGAAGATTCAATCTTCTGACAAAAGTCCTAAAAGCCGAGAGGCCACTGGCCAGTAACCACTGCAATTGTGTTTCATAGGTGTACTCTCGAAAGACTTAACAAAGCTTGTGACTGTAGTTGACCATATTGAAAAGCATTTTGGTATTCTTTGGATTAATATCCCAGGTTTATTTTTTTACCCTTTACATCAGTATAAGGCCGCAGTCGGAGCTTGGCAGTCTCTTGATTTTGCGTTCAAGTTCCATGGTAGCTTTTCCTGGATAAATCCCAGATATTTTATACTATCATAACTCTCAGATATTTTACACTTTCATTTAAATCAGATAGAATGAGTTCTGGAGTCTTGTATATTCTCGTAAAGAGTATAAATTTTATTTTCGATGGGTTTATCAAATGCTCCAGCTACTGAGTGATTCAAGAAACATCATAATAATCCTAAAGAAGCGTCTTTAATGCCAAATTCCGAGTATAGCATCTTTGTGGTCGCATTTCTGAGATTATAATCCTTTGGCTTAGAATTCTCTTCACGAAAGATATAATTGGGCTGGTTAATACCAAGTTAATTTAGCGCGAATGGGATCTACGAGGGTTGTATGTAACACATGAGACAGACTTGTCTTAAATGAAGTTGTGTTGTGACGCAGATTTGACATACATATATAAGTCTGATCCAGAAAAATAGTCAGTTTCTGAACCTATATTAACTTAAGGTTGGACTTTACAGAGACATAACCCAATAGAAGCTAATAACTTAAAATAAAATACTATAGCTGAATATTAGTAACATTATTTTTTACACAAATTTAACATTCAACAACCCATAGTGCTTAAAAGCACTAAACAAACACCCAACGAACGGTATTGAAGTAATGTAATATTTCATTGAGCTCAGAACTGAAAAATGTTGAAAATAAAAACTAAAACACAAAACGATCAATTAAAAGCCTATAACCCCCGAGATAAAGTTACAGCAGAACACAATCCAACCAACCACTACTACTACATGTAAACCAAATTACGAAAAAATAAAAAATTAAAGAGAGAAGTTCAAAAGTTTCAAATAAATCATAATAAACAATAAAAAATTTATTAAAAAAAATACAAATAGAAAAAAACACACACAACTCGAGATAACACAATATGACAGATAGGGAGAGTTAATTAAAAGAGTAATACAGTGAGTAGAAGATACCACTGAAAGAGAGAAAAATAAATAAATTTGAAAACAAATACGAATACGAATACAAATGCTTCTTTACAGATAAAATTTAAAAGAAAATAAACAAAGAATAGAAAAACAAAAATATCATAAAGAAAACATGAGTCAAGACGACGAAGAGACAACCAAATATAAACTAAACAATAACCACAAAAACAACAACAACAACAGCAGCAACTACAACCACCATGGCCCGACGAAAAAGACACAAAATAATCAACAAGTTGTGCCGCTCTACGAGAATTATACGATCAATAACAACAATAACAATGGCCGGAGTACGAAACCAGATCATTCACTGGCTGAACAAGCAACAACCAAGAGCGAAACATTCAATAACGATTACCGCTTCGTTAGAAACACAACAAATGCCGCGGATATAAACGAACAGGAAACGCGTGACACCAACTCCGTTAGCCCAACCGAATACGAATACGAGAATATTAGTTTTAGTTCTAAAGATACAAATTTTGATAAAAAGATATTATTGCAAAAATATTTTCGCAGTGCATTGGTGGGACCACGTGCCAATATCTATGAAAATTTATGTCGTGGTTGCAATTATGGTGTTTTCAATGCACGCGGTCCATTGTGCACCTTTTGCGAGTGTATAGTTAATGGTGTGGGAGCCTTAAGAAGTGATACGCCCGAGGGCAGTTTAAGTAATAATATTTATGAAAATATTTGTGAATTTTGTGGAGTTATATACAGTGGAAGTAATAGTTCAGAGTGTAAATGTCGGGAATCGGTAGAAGTGAAAAGAGAAGAAGAAGAATTCATAAAAGTAGGCAGTGAAGAACTGTTAATAGAGAAAAGTGTTAAGGAAAAGAAAAAAGTTAAATTAAATAAATCGAAATCGTTTAATAAATCTAATAAACCAAAAATATTTACCAATTTGTGGGATACTTTAAGAAAACCAAAGAATACTTTAAGTTCTACAAGTGCTGTAAGGAAACCTTTGGAAATTATACATCACGTAGAGGGTTACGAGCAGGTTTTTCATACCAAAGAAACCTTTGATTTGCAAAAAATTTGCGAACTAAAACGCAGTGGCACCAGTTGCAGTGATCAGCATATTTATGGTAGATTAAAACAAAGTGATTTGTCCGTTAGTCAGGAGGAGTTCAACTCCACACAATCGCTAACACAATCCAGTAATAGTTGCAATAAAAAACCAAGAATTTCCAAAGCTAAATTTCTAAGAACCCAACCTTCAGTTAGTTCTATAGATACTGTCTCATCAGAGTTTAAAACAGAACTTACGGCTGCTGCCGCTACTATATATTTGAACAACAGTGTTTGTCAGTGGATGACATCATTGCGTCGTGAAATTCACGCTTACAATACTTTCATGAACGGCGGCAACGAAGTCGATCAAGATACGTTGTGTTATCCAAAGTCTATACCCTCGAAAAATGTGTTAATTTCTTGTAAGGCGCCAGCAGTGACTAATCGCACCAAAAATTTACAAAATTTTAAAAATTTACTACAACAACAACTGCAACACGTTAGTCGTGATTGTGGTGATTTAACGGAAATACAAACGTTAATATCTCATAACTCTATGACATCTATAGATTCTTGGGAATTGCAGGAAAGAGAGGAGGAAGAGGATCTACAACAACAGCCAGATTGTTATCAGTTAATGGTTGAGGAATTCATGGCGAATATTATAAATAAACAAATGCTGAAAACGAAAGACAGTAAGCAGACGAAGCAACAGCAGCAACAGCAAATTGACAATGTTAAGGCTATGGCAGGTGTCAATAATAATGACAGTTATACTAATAACAAAAACAACAACAGCATTAGCACTGACATACCTTTACGTCAAGCAAATTTGACAAGTACAACAACAACAATGACAGCACATAATCATAATAGTAATAACAGACATAAACGTCAAGGTATGTACCTGCGTTTAGAAGATCATCAACAACTACATCAGCAACAACAACAACAATATACCGGGGAAGAACTATTCAATTTGCACAACAATAACAAAGTAAACAACTACGATCACAATGTCTACCAACAACAGAGTGTAATACCGGGAGAAAGAGTAAAAATAGCTCTCGAGAATAATAATGAAAATGAGAATCCCAATTCTCTACATAAAACAAAAACTGAGCATAATACCGTTACCACTACACCTGATACTAGTATGACAGCTCTTAATGAGGAATTGCATTTAGGTAGTCGTGCAGCAAAATCTCCCGTTAATGGTTGGGATTTAATAATAACGGATAAACGACGTGGTATACATGAACGTAATGTTTTAGAGGCATTTGAGGCCCTTTTGGAACAGGAAAGAACAAATCAATTAACTCTGGCCAATGAAGAGCAATCAGAGTTAGACTCAAAACCCATAAACTTAACAACAATACAAGAATCTCAAAAGTGTGAAAAAGTTGAAAACGAAGAAGAAATCACTACTGAACCATCTTCACCTCTACCCTCGTTACAACTGCAAACATTTGGTGATAATCCCCAGTCCATATCACAACACTTTCCTACACAAATACTAGATGTAATACAATTGATAAATCAACAGCAACTATCCAGTGGTTTAAATACGTCCATCATATGTTACGATAAATATCTAAAAGTATTTTTACAATTTATTTATCAAACAAATAACAAGACTCGCACGATCGCCTATAAAATCCCAAATAAACAATTGGTGAGAAAATTTAAACAATTTTACAATTACTGTGAGAAAACAGCAACAAGTACGGCGATCACCACGACTACGACCACGACGACTAAGAAGCCTGAAACAACAATGAGAGAGTTAACATGCGTTAGTAGCAATTTGAAGCTTGACTTGAACATAACAAATAGTTATAACTGCGCGCAAAATTCGTCTGAAAACGACCATGAGTCATTATTAATGCAAAAATCAGTTACGGCAAATGTTTTAAAACCAGATAAGTGTACTACAAGTGTTTTAAATAAATCTCTAGATAAAGAAAAACAAAAAGTGAAAACTCCACCCCAAGTACCAAAACGAGATCCTAAAACTAAACTCTCACCTACGGCGGAAATAAAAAGATTTGCTCACAACATGACAGTGCCTGCCAATAATCTTAAAACGGAAACTGATAGTGCAGCTCCCAAAGAGGAAGAGTCCATTTATCAGCCCATATGGAAGTTTGAAACTAAGGGTAAAGTTGCGGAACGCTATCAAACCGATGATGATTATTATGATTTGAAAGCCTTAAAAGAGAAAATCAAACAAGAATCTCCCAATTCGGAAATACCCAAAATATTAATATCCGATGATATTTTAATAGAGGAAGAAGAGGATCACAATAATTGGGAACCCGATGAGGAATTTGTGTTTGCCAAACAAAAGAGATCTTTATCTTTAACCTCCGATCGTAATTCTACCATACGTTCTAATCTCAGTTTAAATAGTTCTATTGGTACCTCCTCTTCCTTAAGTGGCAGTACTATAACCGAATTTGCCAGCAGTACTGCCACCTTGGCCTCCACCATAAGCTGCAGTTTAAGACATCATTGGTATCGTAATATAGGCATATTTTATAGTTTAACAGAACCCAAATTAAGAGCCATTATCTATGATTATGATCGCATACATTCCTCGAGATATTTTGCCAAACCCAAGGAGCAGGTAAACAATGATAGTGGTTTGGGAAAATCATTAAGTCCTATACCGCCCTCAAAACTAAGATATGTTAAAAATTGCTCTTCCAACTGCTCCTCACCCTCAACATCGGCCTCCTCTTCACCTGTTTCGCCCACAAAAAGGGAAATTTTGGATAAATCTTTATGCAGTGCAAGTGAAAGTGTTAAATATGCTGGTGCCAGGGCGAAAGTCGTGCCACCTCCTTCCTCAACTTCATCTATATTTGAACAAAATATAGCCAGCTCCGTACTAGCATGGAAACGTCAATTGTTGGATGTTAATTGTATGGAGGATGAAGAAGATATGGTGAGTTTTCTTTTAGTTTTTTTTCTTGTAAACTTCAAATATTTGTCGTTGTTATGTTATTTATCGCTTTGCAACATGTTGTTGTCGCTGTCGTTGTCTTCTTTGTTGAGGTTGTTAATTATTTTAGGGAGGGGAAATTGCTGGGAATTTTAAAGTTTTAATGATCTATTGTTTAGTTTACAACAAATTATTGTTAACTATTTTATGTTTTTTTCAGTCGAAAACATAAAATATATTTGTATTTTAAAGGTTGTTGTTTTGTATTGTTTCTATGTATTTAATGTAGCGGTACGTTTTTGTTGTGCTGCTATTAATGTAAATACAGTTAGGAGATAATTAATAGAACTAGGTGCTATACTTTGAGAAGTGAAGAAAATGTTCTAACTTTGTTAAAATGATATCTGTGGTTATTAGCAATAATAGCTTAAGTTTAAAACCATGATTTCCAGAAATCAAAATGCCATAAAAATTATCGCTAAAAAGTAGGAGCTCTGGCTAGAACGTTCTCGTTTTGAAAACAATGACATTTACTTTTATGGATTAATATGGTTCTATGGCGTCCTAAACTTTAAAAACCCCCCGTTTTTACCATATTTGAGAAGTTATAACAGCAGGAAGATACCTTTATTTGTTAAATATGTTATGTCATCTGAAAGTTCAATCGGTTATACAACATTTGTCATATCTTCATTCTTCCTAGAGTTATTTTAACTAAATCTTAATAACTATAATCGACAAAATCTTCATAGGACGATATCTTCGCAAATACGAAAAATTTTAAAGCTTTAATCTCTGGGATAAAGGGAGTAAAATGTTGAATACATTAACGTATAAGTTATTGACCTATTTAGATCTCTTTATAATACGGTAGGTTAATTTTATCGAAGGTTTTATTGTATCTCCCTAATGGATCGAATACCATCGGTCAGTAACGAAGATTTTATTGTATCTCCCTAATGGATCGAATAGCATCGGTCAGTAACGGTATAAATATGAAAATGACTTCAAATTTCTAATCCTAGATCCGAAGTTTCCAAGACGCCTATATCTACTATTTTAATCCATAAAAAGTCCGTAATTAGTACTCTGTAGATTTTGACTTATTGCGATCGATGTTCTTGGATTAAGTTGTACACTTTCGACCACAGCAGTCACATGGTCGTCGATACAATTTAACCATAGAGTGAGCTTATTAAAGGAAAAGCATCCGACACACTCACTCTAGGTAAACGGATATATATCCCTACATCCATCCTGTATCATATACACTTGACACCAATTCACTTCCAACGCTTCCCAGTCCCAAAATATCTCTTATCTCAATAATATCAGTCTTTTAAACAATATTCTCTTCCCGCGAGATTGCTACCAAATGCACCACTAAGGGACCTCTGCAATAACCGACAGAAGGCAAAGTCCGAAACTCTACCATGTGGGCTATCGGTTACCAGGTCAAATCATTACAAGGAAAGGCCGATGAGACATTTGACACCTCTAGTTTATGGTCCTGACAGACTAGAGGTATTTCCGCGTATTGCAATAACACCAGGATGGTGAAGATCATTAACATGCCCCGAGGAAGTGTTAAAATAGCATATGATTTATGCTAAACTGAAAGAATTGTGAAGCCAATTTCACTCCTAGTGAGGAAATGTCAAATACAAACATGGCCTTTCTTCAGTCAATTTCGTAATGTCCAAAAATTGCCAAAATTATGAATTTTTCAAAAGAGTTACACTTTGAATGCATATTTCCTTGATAGAATTATTCCTAACTTTGGTGTATTGTATATTTTGGATTTCCTTAAAATGACATTGAAAATCGGGCATTACAGAAGCTAGGGTAAAATAGTGCAGCCCATTTGTATTCTAAATCAAATCAATCATAAATCAATCACCCTAACAATTATTTGCAATCAATTTCTTATCAGAGTCGATTCCATTAAGTTTCATTTTAACCATTACTATATTTTAACTCTCCACTGTATTGTACAAGCTGTTGTGATTGTATCTTGAATTTATAATAAATTGAGTCACAATTTATTCAGGGTTTAAATAAAGTCAATTCAATTAAGTAGAACAAAATTATGGTCAATGGCAATATGGAATAAAAAAACAAATATAAATAAAATAATAATAATAATTGCATCAATTCGCAAAAATAAACTGTGGTTGCAACCACAATAAATTTTCTTTGTTGGGATTTTTTCTTACAACTTTAAAAATATCCATAATAGTTAGTTGTTGTAAGCTAAAAGTCACCTCATATAAGCCTTTCACTATTTGAATATAGTTAATAAACAAAAGCTAATTACATACTTTATATATGTATGTATAATACAAAAAATTACGAGTTTAATTAGTAATTAATAAAAACCCAAGAATTGCATTTAATTTTGCTGAGAATGTATTTCATCACAACTATTGCTTATTCTTTACCATATTAACCTCCTTAACCTTGTCCTTCACCTCTAATTACGAGTTATAAACTAGTTTCTGCATGACTCTACGGTTTAATTCAATATAAGCCATTTAAGTCTGAAACCTACACCCACCCCTTTTCTTACCAATGACTTGTGTTTTTGTTAGTTTTTAAATTTCAATTTAAATCTTCGTTTTGCAAATTGACTCATTTAGTCATTCACGGACTGTGTGTTTTTCCCATTTACACATCAAACTCTGTAGTGGGGAATTTAGAAAAAAAAAACAAATGTTTTTATAATTCATTTGCACTATGGCAAATCAGGTAAAACTTCTTGTAAATTGTTTTATTTTCGCTTCTTCAATGCATGCCGTTTTTATTACTTATGTTCATTCATTAAATACTTAATGCTCTTTTAAAGTTTATTAACCCTTTTTTGAAAAAAAAAAAAAAAAAAAATAACGTATAACAACAATAAAAAATACCAATTTTATATACATACATGTAGTATTTTAAACATCGTACATGTTTACTGAATATGGTGCATCATCTTTAAACAATGCCACAACATTTTTTGTTGTTAGCTAAATATTGGAGTTGATATTGAGGGGAACAATGGGTAAAAGTAGTTCGGGTAATAACTAAGAACTAGTTCACTTATAGTTCTTGTTAAGTTATACTTAGTGCAGATCCAGTTCTAGTTCAGTTCTTTTTCAGTTCTAGTTCAATTCTAGTTCAGTTCTAGTTCAGTTCTAGTTCAGTTCTAGTTCAGTTCTAGTTCAGTTCTAGTTCAGTACTAGTTCAGTTCTAGTTCAGTTCTAGTTCAGTTCTAGTTCAGTTCTAGTTCAGTTCTAGTTCAGTTCTAGTTCAGTTCTAGTTCAGTTCTAGTTCAGTTCTAGTTCAGTTCTAGTTCAGTTCTAGTTCAGTTCTAGTTCAGTTCTAGTTCAGTTCTAGTTCAGTTCTAGTTCAGTTCTAGTTCAGTTCTAGTTCAGTTCTAGTTCAGTTCTAGTTCAGTTCTAGTTCAGTTCTAGTTCAGTTCTAGTTCAGATCTAGTTCAGTTCTAGTTCAGTTCTAGTTCAGTACTAGTTCAGTTCTAGTTCAGTTCTAGTTCAGTTCTAGTTCAGTTCTAGTTCAGATCTAGTTCAGTTCTAGTTCAGTTCTAGTTCAGTTCTAGTTCAGTTCTAGTTCAGTTCTAGTTCAGTTCTAGTCCAGTTCTAGTTCAGTTCTAGTTCAGTTCTAGTTCTAGTTCGTTCTAGTTCGTTCAGTTCAGTCTAGTTCAGTCTAGTTCAGTTCTAGTTCTTCTAGTTCAGTCTAGTTCAGTTCTAGTTCAGTTCTAGTTCAGTCCTAGTTCAGTTCTAGTTCAGTTCTAGTTCAGTTCTAGTTCAGTTCTAGTTCAGTTCTAGTTCAGTTTCTAGTTCAGTTCTAGTTCAGTTCTAGTTCAGTTCTAGTTCAGTTCTAGTTCAGTTCTAGTTCAGTTCTAGTTTCAGTTCTAGTTCAGTTCTAGTTCAGTTCTAGTTCAGTTCTAGTTCAGTTCTAGTTCAGTCTAGTTCAGTTCTAGTTCGTTCTAGTTCAGTTCTAGTTCAGTTCTAGTTCAGTTCTAGTTTCAGTTCTAGTTCAGTTCTAGTTCAGTTCTAGTTCAGATCTAGTTCAGTTCTAGTTCTGTTCTAGTTCAGTTCTAGTTCAGTTCTAGTTCAGTTCTTGTTCAGTTCTAGTTCAGTTCTAGTTCAGTTCTAGTTCAGTTCTAGTTCAGTTCTAGTTCAGTTCTAGTTCATTCTAGTTCAGTTCTAGTTCAGTTCTAGTTCAGTTCTAGTTCCGTTCTAGTTCAGTCTAGTTCAGTTCTAGTTAGTTCTAGTTCAGTTCTAGTTCAGTTCTAGTTCAGTTCTAGTTTCAGTTCTAGTTCAGTTCTAGTTCAGTTCTAGTTCATTTCTAGTTCAGTTCTAGTTCAGTTCTAGTTCAGTTCTAGTTAAGTCTAGTTCAGTTCTAGTTCAGTTCTAGTTCAGTTCTAGTTCCGTTATAGTTCAGTTATAGTCAGTCTAGTCAGTTCTAGTTTCAGTTCTAGTTCAAGTTCTAGTTCAGTTTCTAGTCAGTTCTAGTTCAGTTCTAGTTCAGTTCTAGTTCAGTTCTAGTTCAGTTCTATGTCAGTTCTAGTTCAGTTCTAGTTCAGTTCTAGTTCAGTTCTAGTTCAGTTCTATTTCAGTTCTAGTTCAGTTCTAGTTCAGTTCTAGTTCAGTTCTAGTTTCAGTTCTAGTCAGTTCTAGTTCAGTTCTAGTCAGTTCTAGTTCGTTCTAGTTCAGTTCTAGTTCAGTTCTAGTTCAGTTCTAGTTCAGTTCTAGTTCAGTTTCTAGTTCAGTTAGTCAGTTCTAGTTCAGTTCTAGTCATTCTAGTTCAGTTCTAGTTCAGTTCAGTTCTAGTTCAGTTCTAGTTCAGTTCTAGTCAGTTCTAGTCAGTTCTAGTTCAGTTCTAGTTCAGTTCTAGTTCAGTTCTAGTCAGTTCTAGTTCAGTTCTAGTTCAGTTCTAGTTCAGTTCTAGTTCAGTTCTAGTTCAGTTCTAGTTCGTTCTAGTTCAGTTCTAGTTCAGTT